AATGCTGGAGATTACTCGTCGAAAAATCAGTTACTTTTCAATTAGTCGTTATGAACGGAGTGACCATCGGTAGGGATGGCCATCTGGCGAGCAAATATACAATAAATAGCAACGCGCACCAGACCAGCTGGTGCGATCATGCGTTTTGTGCAATTCAGCCCATCGAACGATTGCTTATTAGTGATTTCTCTGCTTTGTACTTTAGTCTATGCAAAAATAGTCCAAACATCGGAAAACAGTTAAAGATTTCACGCACCAGCGCATGAAAGCTGGATTCGAAAACTTGGAGGGTGAATATCTTTCCGTGATTCCCGAGTTAATAGTTTACCCACCAAAATTTCCACGAGGTCGTAGGTGATACCCGAGGCCGCGGGAACGCTGAATTTGAATGGGCAATGTTGAGTGTGCAGTGTGGGCAGGGGGTCATTACCCTAAAGTTTTAGCCTCCTGGACTTCGTGATCCTCAGGATATGAATTTACCCGTAAAAAACTTTCACGGGGCCACACGTGTTACCCGCGGGTACGGGAAAGCTGAATTTAAATTTGCGGAGTCACACGTGGGTGGGGGACGTTCGCCTATATTTTCAGCTTCTTAGCTTTTGTGGTTTCCGAGTTGAAAGTTGTAGACAAGTTGCTACGGACACACACACACACACACACAAACACAACAGACAACCCCGTGACAATATGCGTTTTGCACTGCTGTTACACAGCACAAAAGGCATAAAAATAGAACAGGTAGAAGGTGCTAGGGAGGTCCGACCAAGAAGTGATCATTGCAAATAGGAATGTCAGCGTTGTGGTGGACAAAGGTGGTAATACGGAACTCATTTTCCTTCATTGCTGCGCAACAGTGACTAGAGGATATCAATGCATTTTTAAACCTTTTGCGATGTGGAAGCTGAGATTTCATATCTCTGCTTAAGGTATAGGAGAAGCTGGTAATTGATTTTATACTTCGGGATGCGTAGATGTCTTAGCCAGTGTCCTCAAATTAAAACTTTTTTAAGCTTGTTGCGGTTGAGGAAATCTGAACAGATATACAGGAAGCAATACACACAAAGTTCGTTTGGTAAGTGTTTGCATTTGCGTAAACATGTGCTAATTTTGCATTGGGAAGCTATAATAAAAATTTGTATTAATAGGAAGGTATATTAAAAACAGATGAAAAGAGATGGGCAGAAAGGAAGGTAAAAGATGAGAATTAC